TAATATTGGAGGGAAACAAGCTGAGAAGCAGAACATTTCTGGTAGCTACCGGTCCTCAGGGGGTTGGGTTTGGTTAGCTGCTGGCATCGCTCAGGTCTTTGCAAAGGATTTGTCACTGGCAAGAAAACAGATGGACTGTCTAGATCAAGGACTCCCAGGAGAGATCAATGGCACCTGGTCACAGCAACATTCAAGTATTACCCACTACAGGATGATGGGCGTGGGGGGGGAGAGCAACGGGGAGGGGGCAAAAAGGGGAGTTGGCTCCATGATATGCTTGAACTGGATGTACTGCAATGTAGAGGCCAGCGTATGATGTAATGAAGGAACATATGCATTGAGATGGCAGGAGTTACCAAATCCTACCTGCTTTCAAAGGAGAATTTTAGCTTGTGGATTCATAAGAAGGACATTAAATACAACAGCTGTCTATCCTGCACTTTAAACCATGTGTGATGGGTTCAGTGGGACATGCCTTTCACAAAGCAGGAGAAGATACAGGCTGCAAGACTGCCCTCAGAGAACAAATACTATTTCCACTACAGGCTTGTGGAGAAATTTGCCTACTGCCTGCAAAATGGGAAGTAGGCACTACTTCCCATGCCCCAGAAGCCCCCTACTCCCCTTCCAGGTAACGGTTTTGATGTCTCCGGGGAACTCAGTGTGAAGTCAGTGCTGAGTTAACAACCGATTGGTTCATAGCAATGTCTCCAGAATTTAATCTGTTGACAACTGCTTTATAAAAGCAAAAGTGGTGCCATGTGTTTTATGAGGTTCATGTTAATCCATGGTCAGCAAACGCTTGTGGGCTGTGAGAAGCAGAGTCCCAATGGCAGGGAAATCTAAAGTGTTGGGGTAGGACAGGTGAACTGAGGGGGGAAAGGGAAAGAATACTGAGAAATAGTTGCAAGAGCTGCTTTAGTAAAGCAGGCTGATTGGTGGCAGCAGGAAGAGACCTGTGGTGGCACATCAGGACAGGAAAACAATCGAATGGAGAACGTCATGCTCAGCTATAACACTAGACTGAAGTACTGTTATCTACTCTAGAATGAAACCTCACCATGAAGGGAAATAGGTCTGATCTTAGAGCTTCTTTCCCTCTGCAATATGGATATTTTTTATTATAGATGACAATCACAAACTTCCACAAGGAATTTGAGAGATCTCCTGTCCCTAAAATCTTTTCCCCATTCAATTCTGCACATTCAACCCCAAATTCTAAGGATATCACTATAGGGAATAGAACAATAATCACAGCAGTATCTAACTGCTCCTGTGGTGCTAGTAATCTAACCCTCAGCAGCTGTCAGAGTTTAATCTCCAATAAAATGAGTAAAATATCCTCCTTTAGCTCCAATGGCGAAGGGCCTTGTTACATGTTATGCTGTGAGCCACACAAATGTTGACCAATTTACTGCTAGCTTGGAGTTTGGAGCAGTCACACATTTAATCTGGAAACCTTCTCTGACTGTCCCCCACCTGCCTCGTGCTCCCAGGCCAGCCGGGACAGCTGAGCTGCTCCAAGCTCCCCTTGGAGGTGGCTGTCCCTGTGATCTGGATCTGGAGCTGGTCTGTAGTTCATTGGCAGGCAGCTGTGTCCACTCCAGTGTGAAGGGAGAGAAGGAAGGAGGGAAGAGGGAGCATTGCAGTGGCAGAAGGAATGGCCAAGGTATTCCAGCTCCCCCACAAGTTGCCTTCACTCTGCAGCTTGGAGCAGTATCGCTTCCATGTCCACGCAGGCAGCAGGGTCCTGTGTCTGCAGCCCAGATACACCTGCAGCCACCCTGCCCCAGAGCAGAGGCTTCTTGGCAGCAAGCTGTCCCCCAGCCTGCAGCAGGCACTAGTAGCTCTCGCTGTGCTACATCTGAATCAGGTCATGGAGCAGAGCATTGCTGGAGCTGTGGGACTGGAGCTTGGGGTTTGCCAGAGCCTGGCTGGGTCTGGGGGCTTTCTAGGGCTGGTCATGCTCTCGTCCACTCCCCAGGGGTTGGCAGGGAGGGAGTGAAGGGGACACAGGATCCAGCAGTGGCTTCCTGCCCAGACAGGCTCAGCGCTAGTGGGGAAAGGTGCCCCAGGATACTGTTCCTGGAACTGGAGGGTGGAGGCTGGGAGAAATAGAAAAGCTGCAGCTCCAGCCCCTGGGCAGTTCCACTAAGCAGCTGGAGGTGTGAAAGCCCCCGGAACAGGAGAATGGTGGAGTGACAATGGCATCATCCTAGGATACTGGAGGACTTCAACTTGCGTGGCACGTCTGTGGAGAGGTGGCTGCCCGCCAATGGAACAGGAGCTGGGCTGTGCAAATCACAGATTATCCTGCTCTAGAGTGACCTAACTATGTGTTGCATAACAAGTGCTTAAAACCACTTTAAGGTGTTAATGTGCAGACAGTCCAGGGATTAAGAGCTCCAGGAACCACTCAAACTTACCATGTAACAAGCCCCTAAGTTTATACCAGGCTTCCTCTAGGGCCTTGTTACATCTTCTATTGTAAACTGCACAAATGTTAATCAGCTTAGTGGAGCAATCGCATCTTAAGGCGGAAAACCAACTTGGCTGTCCCCCACTTACACAGCTGTGACTTGCCACTAGAGGCTTGGTGAGCACTGGCAAGAGTAGGAGCTAGGTGCAGGACTAGGACCTGCACACGGCTCCAGGCAGAGGTGGTACCCCATGGGAATTGGGATGCTGGTTGAAAGCATCCTTGGCAATCCCAGGTGATGCCAGGATCTGACTTATGCAGGGGCAGGGGCACTGGGGGCTAAGAAGGGGTTGCTAGCCTTGGTGGGAGACCACATGCTCAGGGCAGGAGCGGGGGCTGGGGAACCTTCTCAGCCCAGATCCATCCTGGACTACTCCCCACAACTGCGGCAACAGCCCCCACCTTGGGGATCGTCTCCCAGCCAAATCCTGCCTGGCTACAACACTACAACTGCCAGCCCTCCTCCTCAGCCAGCAGCCCCCTCCCCAGTACACCTCAGCCCCCTGCTCTGGGGGTGGGATACCTGGGGGGGCACTCTGTGCCTGTGCCCTTGCCCTGAGGGAAGGGGGTGCATGGTACAGAGGGAAGAGATGGAGGGAGAGAGCCTCTGAGCAGGGGTGTGGGAGGGTGCACATTGTGGGGGCTGGGATCTGGAGACCCCTAGATCCCTCTGAGATCTCAAGGAAATCCCCCAGGTCCCTTGGAAACCTCCAGATCCCCAGATCCCTAGGAGATCCCTGTAGACCCCCAGATCTCTCCACCACCAGGCCCCAGCCAAGACCTCTGGTGCAGGGTCATATGGCTGTAGGTTAAAATATGGAGCCTGAGACAGAAGCAGGCGCAGGCAGGTTCACCCAGCCTGGATGTGCCCCCAGAAGCCACCTAGAATTAAATTGCAACAAGGCCCGTCGTTCCTTTGGCTCCCTATTGGAGATTTTTCTTACTACATCCTTAACATTTGTGATTCAGCCACAACCCAGCAGTTTTCTGATTGCAGCACCTTTCCCTGATGCCACCTACCCCAATGGAAATGAGATCTGGTTGCCTGGGATGATTTCAGTGACATTCAGAAGTAGGCACTTCAAGTCAGGACACAAACTGCTACATCAAAAGAAGCATCTATAGTTTAGTGCGAAAATGAGAAGCTCCTGAAATGATAAGCTCTTTGAGAGGATCTCTGCATGTGTGTGTGTGTGTGGGTGTGTGTGTGCGGGGGGAGGAGGACTGAGCACGAGTGAGGCTAAATATGTAATTTTAAACACACTTAAGAAATGACAGAAGCAAGAAGTTTAAATGCCTGCTTCTCTGTTGAGATGTTTTGGGCATTGTCATTACTGACCCAGACTGTGCACTCTAGAGTCACACCTGGAAAAGTTCTTCTACATGCACGTTGGTACACCCCCTGCCATTAGTGGATCACTCATTGCCATGCCACTCACCCCTGCCTCCCCTGACTTTGAAAAGACCACTCTCACGTTGGAGAGGCATGTGGAGACTGGAGAGGCCCAGTAGGAGGTTGACAACATGACCTAGGGATATATATTATTCTTCCTAGAGGAATATGATAAATCTCCAAGAGTATTTTGGGAACAGCTACAGGCAAACCAAAAGAGCCATACTGCCATAGGTCTATCAGGTTCTGCAGCAAATGTGAACCTTGGGAGCCTGCATATTTGATAATGGGTCATACATTTTCTACAGAAGAAAAATGTGTGTGCCATAGGAAACAAAATGGGCAGATTCCTGCAAAGGAATCCTTGTAGACACGTCTTGTGTTGAGGTGACCCACCAACAGAAGAAAGATCTGGAACATTAACTCCTAATATATTATCTTATATTTTAATACTGCATCTCATCCCACCCTCACAGACAATATTCTTAGGAGTCCCTTCACTAGGAGGAAAGCAGCATTTGAAAACAGGAAGATGCTGTTATCTGGAAAATCATCAGAAGTTTATAGATGTCTGGGAAGGAAGATGTTTGTTATACGTCTCTCCCCAAAACTGAATGTGTAGCACCAAAGTGCCTTCTCATGTTGTTATGATTGACATCGTCCAGCAATGCCTAAGAGCCCAGTGTTGAGACTGCAGATCAGAACTAAGAAAGAAAATTGGAAGCACTGTATTGCATCAGAGGGCCGACTAATCCAGCATCCTATGTATGACTGTTACCAGCAATAGATACTACCACCAAAGGCAGTATGCAGATATGTAATAATCTAGAGCACCACGAAGTTCTTCTCCTAGAGCAACACTTCAGCTGAATGTTACAGTCACCAAATAGCCCCTTCCAGCACTGCTGAGGCTAGGACATCATTTATGGACATTTTAGAGGACACAACTGCTGCCTGAATACCATGCATTTTGCAGCAGCAGTAGCAGGGCCCAATATACTACAGAATCTGTACCTTCTTCAGCTTCCAGGTCCACCAGTGAAGATACCAACACACCCATCTCCTGACATTTTTTGCTGTGGGCTTTTGACTTCATATGTTTAGTCAGATTCCCTGAAATGAAACAGAACACAGGCTGGTAAGTATTTTTTTTTTCTTTTTCTTTTGTAAGAGGTAAAAAACTAGTCAACAAATTCACTAGATCCTGCTGTCTGTGGTTCGGTTCTCTCTGCAGAGGCCTTACTTTTAAACAGTCCAATAGCTCATAACATGGGACTAAATCTGTTTGATTTCTTCACTACTGAATGGCATGAGTGATGAAGTCTCAAATGTGTGGCTTGCAGAGGAACTGGCATACGCTTTGCACTGTGGGCAAAAGAAACTCCATGAGATGCGTTAGCACAGAAAAAAATAGGAAAAAAATAAATAAAACAGAGAAAATAAAGGTTACTCATTAACCTAACAGCTTCACCAAGCAATAATTGTTAATTCCAGCATGAGTGTCATCTGTCTGGAGACAAGATGCTGTCTACTTTTAACATCAGCAGAGACTTGAGGTGGAGACAATTAAAGTGAAGGTTCAAGGGGAAAGCTGAAAGGGGGGAAAAAACACAAAGTTGAAACACAGCTGAACTGTAATGGGTTTTGGCTGACACTTATTTAGCAGCTGGATTCGACTATAGATAAAAGTGATTAGTAGATCTGGCTTGGATTTGGAATTTGTATTCTGCAAAAACATGTTGAGGCAGGCTGCTGGGGACCAGTGGATCCCAGGGAAGTCAGCACCCTGCTATGATGACAGCTGGGCAGCCCAGGGAGCTGGCAGGAAAGCGGGCAGACCAACATACCTGTGGGCCTAATTCCCAATGAAAATTTCAGTTGAATCAAGATATTATACATTAGCGTTTTCTGATAGAAAATTAAATACTGGAGCTGGTTGAAGATTTTCCAGTGGAACAGACAAGACTGTTGCCTGCTTCATCATGAGTGTGATCACTGTAACTGGGAATGGTTTGAGAGGAACCTAAATAGAAAAAAAAATGAGCCCCTCAACCCTGACATGGTGTCTCAGTGGGCAGGACAGCTGAGATGTTCTGGCATATACTGAATTCTGAGCACACTTACCTCAAAGCATGACATTTAGTTCCCAAACTAAATTTCTAAAGTATTTTGCACCGGTGCTTAATGTTGAGAAAAATAATTAAGAAAACAGAATTTGTGCTGAATATTAGGACAATTTCTGAAGGGCGAGATCTAGATTAGACTGTACAATGTCTTCTAAAAGGTACAATGGCTGTTGTCCGGTACATTGGAATATTTATTGCTAGCCCAGAGAAAGTTTGAATAGATATAGAATGGCAAAGGAATATGTTAGAGGCCCTTTTCTGTCTCTGATTTATGTAATTCTATAAAATCACAACAGTTGCCATCAGCTGATTCATGCAAAAGTTGACAGCCGTACTTGCACATAACAGAAACTCAGGAAAAGGGATTTTAGAAGGTAGGGAATGCAGATGTCAGAATAAGGAAACGAGAATGAGAAGTGAGGTGAGAAATCATCAAGAAGAGCATTTTCCTTTTCCCCTTCTTTATTTCTGACCTTACTGATCTTCCCAACAGACTGATAGTAAGAAGGAAAAAGGTATGACCTTTCTGCATCTTCACTAAACCTTGCATAAATCTGCAGCATGAACCAATACCTAACTGTGCTCTCTAGGTTAATCGGAAAAAGAAGACATAGCAAAGGCTCTCTCATCGGTTATAGCCTACATTTAGATCAGTGACTCTCAACTTGTTTTGGACTGGGATCCATTTGTAAATATTAATGGCCAGTCCCAACCCAGGGCCCTTCACTCTCACCCCCTGTCCCCACAGTGTGTGGGGAAGGGGGTGGGTGTGGGGGTTGTAGGGTGGGGGGCCCAAGCAGCCCCTCACAGGCTGGAACTCTGCCCGCCTGCAGGGGGAAAGCCACGGTTTCCCATGTTTTTCTCCTTTAAAGGAGAATCCATTTTTAAAGTTTGCTTGTGACCCTTTCATATTTTCTTGCAACCCACTTTGCAAGGAAGTTGAGAAAAACTGGTTTAGATCACAACAGGAACAAATTTTCTCATTTTGAGACTCTCTTCTAGATTTTGTAGTAAGGTTGGACTGTTGTAGTCATGATGGTCCAGGAAATATATGTGACAAAAAGAGTTTTTTTTCTCTTCTTCTAAATTTTGGAAATTATTTGCATTCCCTGTCAAGATAAACCTGAGAGCTTTCGTTACTTTTTAATTAAAAATCATAGGGAGAGAGACACCCTCCATCCCATTATACCTAGGTACCTAATGCTTAGAACACTGACTTAGGAGGTAAGCGACCTGTTTTCAAATTGCCATGTTTGATTTAAAGCACGGTCATGAACCTGGGATCTACCACATCCTCTATGAAGCCCCTAACCACAGAGCTCTTAAGTCTTCCTGGGCTCTCTCAAGCTCTCCTGCTGGAGCTTAAGCTGTGCCACTTTCTATAAAAAATAAATAGTGATTGGAGCAGAGACTTAAACCTAACTTTCCCACATCTCAGGTGAGTGCCAGCACCAAGCAGCTGTAGACTCTGGCACTCTCTGGCCCAAAGAGTTCTTATTTTTACAGAATGAAACAGCTTCTACAGAAGAGATTGAAAAAAAGAGACAGAAACTATATAGCCTGGTAATTCTGGACCTTACCTAGAATGTGGGAGACATGAATTCAAGTTCCAGCTCCAATTAATATTTAATTATTTATACATAGTGGAATGCCACCAGAAGGACAAATCTAAATACACTTATTCCCAAATACCCCAGAGCCTGTTGGTTAGGGCATTCACTTAGGATATGGGAAACCTGTATTCAAATCACTGCTCCAAAGTTGGCTGAATGCAAATGATCTGAACCTGGGTCCCCAACATCACAAGTGATTGTCTTTACCAGCAAACTGCTGGCAAAAACAGCTTCTCCCACTTGGTGGCTTTGACCAGAAATTCGGTCGTGAACTGGAAAAACCCAGTTTGACAAAAGAGCTGTCCAAGCCAGCCCATTCCTACAAACGGTTCCAGTGCCAAGAAATCAACATTTTCTGATGAGAACAGTTTTGTCCAATTTCCAACCTGCCCCCTTTGCAAGCTAGGGTCTACAGCAGTGGTTCTCAACAGTGGTGCTGCCAAAGCCTTTCACGGTGCCATAGCGTGGGCGCCACTGCTGTTGCAGTCAGCGCTGTTGCTGCCACGACTGCAACTCGGTGGAACTGTTCTATGGGCTTCATGTGAAGCCAGACTGGGAAAGGGTGTGGCAAGAGCATGTGCTCCTGCCTGCATTAGGGTTATCTGATCAACCTAAAGCAACCAGGATCAAAGAGTCTGAGGCAGCCCCCCATCCCCTGTCCCCCGGTCTGACCCTGCATGCTTGTCTTGGAAACAGAGATAGCACAACAGTGGTTCTCAACTAGGGTAAACTCAAATATAAAACAGTTAGAGAAACACCCTGAATCTAGAAAAGGCTCAGAACCACTGGTCCTGAGCAGTGGGTTTCAACCTTTTTTTTTCATTTGC